ACAGATGTAAGCAAGCATCATGGAAGTAAAATGATGTGGTGGGCCGGATCTGTCATCAGGGCCTTGACTTTGACACCTGTGATTTTGAGTGTTCCATTAACCTGCCATGCTTGCTTCTGGAATGTGGGAGGAAACTGGAGTACGCCGATAAAACCCACACGGGTACAGGGCGAACACTCAAACCCTACACACGAATGCCGGAGTCGGAATCAAACCCTGCAGCTCTGCACAGTGAGGTTGACGTGCTAACAAGTCGACCACTGTGCCGCCCTCTGTGAAAACAGAAATGTCCAAATGTTTTGGTGTGAGGATGATTTGTGATTCATGAGGTCTAGCTCAACGACTAAATAATTGTTCAAGAGTTATGTCACAAGACTTTTTCGGATTTTAAGATCAGATGTATTCCTATATGTCATATTATTAAAAAAAAAAGGGTCACATGATTAAAAACTATGCAGTGTGCCAGTTTAAGAATGAGTAAAGGCTTTCCTTCTGCTGCTGTCATGTTTGTCTTTCAGCACCACATCTTGCCGCATCACATAAAGAGGATGTGATGCATTTTTTACATCTCAGAAAGGAAAAACAATCAAAAATAGCTCCTCAGTGGCAGTTCATATCTTACTACAGCCCTAATCTTAACTCAGCAATACATACCCCTGACACTTTTTGGGCGGGGGCTGAGTGTAAATTGTAAATATATGATCATTTCTGTCCAACAGCAAGTGCCGACATCCTGCGTGACATCTGTTTCGTAGTTAGATGTACAGCAGGCGATGTCCAAAAGAATATTGACTAAGCAGACGCCGGTCGTTGGCAGGCAAACCTGCGAGTCAGGGGAGATGTTTTTGGGCCTAGAACAATGTGAAATCTCTGTTAAATACCCGATGTGGGGCAGTTGTGAGGAATCTTTTTATTCCAAAACCATTTTGTTAGGACCAAAAAAAAAAAAAAAAAAGTGTCTTCTGCTGCTTCCCATTTCATTCATCGATGATACAACAATGCCATGAGAGGTACATCACGAAAATCTATTTGGGGAGGAAAAGTGACTGCATTTGTACAAGCATCGCAATGTAGATGTAGGCTATTCTGGACCGATTAATAGATTCCACTAGTCCACTATTGAGTAATAAAATGCAAACCTTAAATCAGCTAAACTAGAAAACATGATGGCATTTATTTTGAATTGTCTGTGGCTCGATGGTAAGTGGACTGCGTCATACATCAGTGACGTAAAATTAGGCTCAGTGTCTCTGGTTAGAGATTTAGAGTTTAGAGGTTGAGCATTTACTTTTATATGAGATAGATGAAAACCACCGATATGAAAACCACAAAGCTGTGTATACAAGAAAAAAAAACCCCAAGCAAAATGTGAAGCTGAGAGATGGGAAATCAATCACAGCCATTGTCCAAACATTGCTTTCAGCCAAAATAATCATTTGGAATTTGCTGAAGAAAGAAACCACTTGTAGTGAGAGATGCTGCGAGGGCAGGTAATAGAAAACAACAGTTCTTGATTACAGAAATATTGTGAGAGCTGTAAAGAAGACCCAAAACAATTGTCAACAACCTCCAGAGGGCAGGGGTGACAGTTTTACAATCAAGTGTTTGCAGAAGACCTCATGAACAACAGCAACAAAACCTGACGTTTCGACCCACTCATAAAGCAAGGCTGAAAATGTCCAAAAAGACCAGAAGATTGCTCATGGTCCTAAAAACGCAGCAGATATCTTGAAACTTAGTGGAAGGAGAAGAATGTTTCGGCTTGTACTTGCATGGCTTCTTCTAGAACAGGTTCACTCATCACCACTGATGGCAGCAACAAAAAGATACAAGTAGTTTTCAGTTTCCAACAATGCGTTATGCACGTTGCCATTGATGACGACGCAGCGCGAGAAAAAACACAACATCGATCTAACAACTCAGCCATGCCAAATAAATGGAACATAGTACTTATACAGACACCATTTTTTTCCTCGGGAAACTTTGCGTAGCTCGAATTGTTCTAAAAAGGGAGCTTTATAACTCAAAGTTCCACAATATTGTATTTTGTATCTGTTCCATTGTTTTTGCTCATTTATAAACCTGGTGTTTTGTTAAGAATAATATATCCACATTTTGTATGAGGTGCAGATGTAAACACCAAAAATTAAAAGCTTGTCTGATATTTTAAACTGCTCAAAAATATACACAGGGATCACTACCATTGTGTTGTTTAAGCGTTCCCTTTATTTTTTTGAGCAGTATTTCAACGTCAAACGTTTTCAGTTGAAAGGAAAATTTAAATTAAAGGCCTTCGAATACCTTTGGAGGTGAGTGTAATTTTTCATTTTACGTTAAGTTATATTTTATGCAGTGTAACTAAAGCAGGGAAAAGCGCTGCCAAAAGAATGTCTTCTGCATAGGTCGAAGACGAACATCAGTGGGACATATTTCCGGTCAGAAGTATGCATTTGGGAAATTATTCATTTCCTCCTCTGCATCTTCAAGACAACATGTCAAACAGAATGAAGAATATTGGAAAACACAAATAACCTTGCAACCCTGCCCCCCCTGCTGTCTCACTTTCAGATCTGCACTACAGCATACACACAACGTGCACACAATCGTCCTTCCCAGACAAGTGGATTGGGGGGCAATAATACGTTGAAAGTGAAAATAGTGACTCAGTCATGTCACATCAGGCCGAGACAAACTGCTCGAGTCAGAACGAGCTGACCCAGCTGACCTTGGCAGCACACTGAGGCTGATTGGGTTTTTTCCTTGGGGAGACTCACGTAAACTAGTGGCGCACTTTGAACTGCACTGCGAAACGTGTTCGAGGGCTCATGAGCGGGCTACCCCGTGTGCCTGTTAAGGATCACACGTCGGCTGCTTCTTGATGGCGCGGCCCTTCCAGTCCGCTGGAGGACAATTTGTCTGGAAAATGAACACAATCGGCGCACTCTGTTGCAGGCATTTATTGGGCGACAGCTTCAACAGAGATTGCCTTGTTTGCAGTCAATGAAGCTTATGTGATTTTTGACAATGCAAGAGTCAAAGTCAAAGAATGTAAAAGTGAGGCGCAAAATGGGGACTGCAAAAAAAAAAAAAAAAAGCTCGATTTCAGACCACCACTGAGACACAACGACCAGGGGGAGGTCACAAGCATCTGACTAATCCTGATACAAAAAACATTCAGACAATATGAAGAGGGATGTTCAATGCCACTATTTTTTTTCAGACCGATACCACAGTTCTGAAACCTCAGGTACTTTTGATCCATATAATTTCATTTCACACAATGCAACATATTGTGAACAAAGACCTCTCTCTGACGCAACTTGATGGTTCCCCAATGTGTCGAACTGTCGCAGTCTCGTGCCACCGACTGCCAAAGAGGACTTAATCGATGTCCGTATTTTTTCCCCTCAAGTGTCATTTGTTGGTATCGGCAGCCTCTATGCATACCCGATACCTTCAAATAAGTCCGTTATTGGCCCCGATACCCATACCCGGTTTCGGTAGCCAGCCATCACTAAATACGAATGAACAGAAAATGTCATCCCGATCATGATCTACAAAGTCCAACACCATCTCATGAGAAACAGAACCATTAACTGTGCTTGTCCTTTTCTTTGTGTGTTTGTATTTGTGATGCCACCACAACGGTGAAGCAGTGATAACGAGAGATGATGATAAAAACCATAGAACATCAGAACTTATTGTGACAAATTTATTTTACTAAGTGAGTCGTCAATAAGGGCCTAATGACTAGCAGACATCCTTTTTGTGTGTGTGTGTGTGTGTGTGTGTAATCTTTAAATATGTTAATGTAGTTAATGTCCAGCGATTTAGGTAGCCCTTTCTTTCTCTAAATATTTGTTTTTAGATGTTTTATTGTTATGCATTTTATGTTGTTAAAACAATGGTTACAGAATGCAGTATGACGCTTTCAGTAACTTTGTATTGATTGGTTGATTGCTTGCTTGATTGATTGATTGATTGATTGTATCAAAGGAAATGGGTCAAAAGCCATGTAGGGTGTAATAGAATAGGCTGGATCACTTGCTAATGTTTTGCTCATTCAACTAAATCACTATGACAAAGAGCATTTGACATTTTCACTCGCTTATTTCCGGTTTGGGACCCATTACTCACAGCTACATTATTCTGCATACTGAGCTTGTTGTGTCCAGGCTTCTCTGGGAGTAAGAAAGTGGACAGACATATGCAGCCTGCAGCATCCCACTGCCTTTAAACTTGCAGCGGCTTCTTCTTCTAGTCTATTCTCAGCAACATGCACCTGTCTCTTTGTCCTTTTTTTTTTTTTTGAACTTCAGAATTGCAAAAAAATGTGATTAATTCAATCCATTTGACTCCAGTGATGAGCATGGAAATAATACATCGATAAATAATCTCAGCTCACAAGGGCAGATGATCTCTAGAATCAGATCCCACAAGCATTTAAATCGGCATTTGAATTGAGCAGGGTATTTATGTATCATCAAAGTAACAGGAAGCTCGAACGTTCAATTTTAAAGCTGATTAATATTTTCAGTATTAGCTCTAAAAAGTGATTGCTTCGTGGAAAATGACACTCCCGACCCAGATGATTTTAGCCCGATACCGCGTATTTTAACTTCTGTGCTTCTCTCATGTGACTGCATTTTTTTTAAGAGTGGGAGCTCGTGCGTCACTCCTCCATCACGCACACGCATTGTCTTTTTAAAAGTAACAAGTGTTCGCAATGGGAACAATTAATACAAAGCATGCATAGATACCGACAGGCAGCACTACTTGGCGGTTGCCAAAACGCGTCGTATGCCCGTCAATTAGTGCATGGGGGTAAAAAAAAAAAAAGAAAAAGGAAAAAAAAAAGGACCGCATGCATTCTACGTTGGGGCAGCGCGTTTCAACCCAAGAATGGGTTTGGGAAGTAAAATGCACAGAGCGTTGCAACATCACTTTCCTCCCACACAGTGCACACGCCGCTTCTTATTGAGTGTCATGAAACGTCTCACCTGCACAATCCAGATGTACGTCTCCCCATAACCGTGCGTCTGTCTTTACAATAAAGAAAACAAATTACGTGGGTATACTCCAAATCCCCCCAAATGGCCTCTTTTTTTAAATTTCTTTGAGAATGAAGCCTCCAGTGCAGCAAGTCTCATTCCGTTGTCATTTCCAAAAAGGTGCCTCCGGTACCAGTTTTTTTTATCTTCTTCTTCAGCGGGAAAGCTCCCCCTTCCGAGTCCGCCTACCTCTGGAGTGGATGCTCTTTCGCCTCAACTCGAGGCTCAACGCGAGCCTGGCGAGAACGCGCGGCGCGACCCCGCCGCCTTCTCCAGCGCGCCAATTGGAGTCGGAGAAGAGAGTTACTAGGTAACCAAGGGCACACGCATCATACATGGAGAAGAGCAGAGCAGTTTGATGCCTTCCAACTATGTGCGCCGACTGTCTGATTCCAATTATTATCATAATTGTGATATGATGATTAGAATTATTCCCGTTCTTTCTTATCATTCTGCCCACTCATTTATTATGTGCATCTCATCCCACATAATTCATCTGATCCACATCTTTCGAGTTCAAAATATTCCAAAAATTCACACCATCCCGGGTATTACTTTTGTTCTCATTCCAAAAATTACCCAAAGATTCACCGTTCAATCTCTATGGCGCATTCAACGCAACACATTCACTTCAAAATTCTAAATGTTCAGCTCATTTAATTCACCTTGGAAACCATTTTCAACTCTGCAGATATTGTTACATACCAGAAATTCAACATTTTCCATCAGTATATCGCACATTTTAAACAATATAATTCCACACCATTCTGTATCATTCAATAACTTTTGATACCGTTCCGCATCATTCCATAGCTTTCACTATGATTTCATATTTTCAGCTAGATATTGCACATTTTGCACCCATCATTCCACATCCTTCCCATATCATTCAATATATCCAACGCCATTCCACATCATCTCATATCTTTCAATGTCATTTCAGATCATTTCACATTTTTCACCAATATCAAGAGTGCAGAGTTGATTCCATATTATTCAATATCCATCAGTCTCATTTCATATCAGTCATTACCATTCCACAGCTTTCATTATTAATCTTTCCGCATGTGATAGATTGATCGATCGATATACAGATAGTCAGAAAGTTTAAAAAGTTAGTTAAACTGACTATCACAGCACCTTGACTTGAGATTTTGGGTGGAAAGAGTTTTCTTAACATGGAAAATGTTTACACTTTATTCATTTGTTCATTCGTTCACGGATTGACGCTTTTGATCAACAAGTGAATCAGCACCACTTTTGCTGTAATTGATAAGAGCATTAATCATTTAATGTAATTTACGTTTCAACTACTTTAATACTCGCATCTTCATGATGAAAAGCACCACTCGTGTCATTCCCCACTTCAGCTGTACTTATCCTCCTCCAGTGTCATCCTGACACTGCCAGCAGCGCTACTGCAACTTAGAAGAGTGTCTGGTTCTTGCTGTTGTCGGTTACGCACATTTGGTGTGAAAAATGTTAAAACCTTTAGTGGTTTGATTATAATTTCTTTCATCTGGCCTTCACCACTACTCTACTTGGTGAAATAAAGCTGCTTAATTTTACTTATAATGCGCAATTTCTTTTGCTACCTTCTTCCTGAATCATGTTTAAATACACGCGATAAGAAGATGGATGTGGGGAATCACTCACAGTGATCTTGCCAGATTGAGCATTGTGATGTGTTTTTAACGACATGAATTCAGGTTAAATGAGGGTGAAGGACTTCAGAATGTTTGCAATTCACACTAAGGTGATTCAATAAGGTAGGGATGGGCAACTTAGATGTCAAAGGGCACCACCATATTTCATCAGCGCAACTAGGGGTGTGGAGTACATAGAACTGCACACTTCCTAACCAGATTCAGGACAAAAATACAATTTTTGATAGTGACAAAATGTGTGCATATATGTGTTAATGGGCCAATGTACAATATCTTAATTAGTATTTTAATTTCGATTTCACACAGAAAAAATCCAATGCTCAACTACCCAAAATAACAAGAAATTGTGCTTTCTCTCCTTCCTCTCCCACCTCCTACCAAGGGCTCTCTTGCATAAAAATTCCCATTCAAAGATGGCTCCGAACTGCTGAACTACACAACATGAAATGGCAGAAGTCATTTTGTGCATGTTTTCACAAAAATCAATGTACTCAAAGATTTTAATATTCCATGTTTCCCCGCATGTCAAATCAAATCCTCAAATGAACAAAATAATACAGTGACTCATTCACCTGTGCGCACAGTGCAGGTGAAGGGCAGTAATTTAGGCGGATGCTTGTCCAATTAAGCCGCCATACACATTTGGAAAACTATCAAGCATTGACTATCTCCATGTTTTTGGAGGACACATATTTACTAACTCTTCATGCACTTTTAGCAAACGTTCAACACTGTAGAAAAACATAAATCACTGTTTGTATATACAGTATTTCAGTTCAATGTCGTGACTTCCATGACAAGCTCTTCTTCACAACTCCAGCCGTTGTGTTGGAGGTGTTGTTGAGTGATGTCTGCCATCCTGTGGTCAACACTGGTCTTACAACTTTCAATTGTGCGCTCCAGTTCACCATCCCTGCACTCAGATCACTTAAAATTCTCACACACGACCCATGCTCCTGTTTGCACAAAGCCTCCAAATACATTCTCAACTCCTCCCTTTCACTTTTAAGCCCTTGCCAAATGTTCTGGAAGAAACACCTGAAAAGGACATACAGTACCTAACCCAAAGCAAATGAAGAATTGCGCCATTGTAATTGATTCACGCAATATTTATAATTTGTGTTTTGAATAGATGGTGTCAGTTTTGTTTGTTGTTGTTTTTTTTTTTTTTTGCCCATAGGTTAAATTCATATGTTGATGATTTTTTGTGGGGGATCAAATTTTAAAACTGAAATGCATTTCTGCACAGTTTCTTGCTGTCTGTTTACACTGTTCATTCATTTTTCTCATGAAGTTATACTGCAAAATGGATGGATGATAAAACGGTCTCAAAGTTGAAGTGTTTCAAATGCTAAATGTGTTTCCATTAAAAGAAAATGCTCAATCTGCATAGCATGTGTGAATAGCTCCCATTGCGACAACCAATGGCGAACGTGGGGCTGTTGTTGCGTGTCTGCCACTGAAGGTGATGCTCTTGATTAGAGCAATGTGCATATTTACTGTGACAGGAGCTCAAATTAATCGATATGACGAAGTAAGGAAAGTAGCACTATCTGGTGCACCGACCGCAAAGCAGAGCATAAACAGAATGGAAAGTAATATGAAATGGCATTTAATGGAAACCATTGTATTGTGTTAACAAATATACAGTATATATCTTATATGTAGAAAGGCAAACCATCTTGACAACGTGTGTGGATGTTCAAAATGGATGAGGCAGTGGAAGTGCTCCCAAATGAGGAATCAAATTAAGGAAAATGGAATACAATGACTATAAATGAAACGGATTTATGATAATAAAAATATTTTAAAGCCAAGAAAATTCATAATTATTTTTTAGGTATGGTATATTTGTCCATATTTGTATTTCAATGAGTGTCCTTAAGACTGATGAATGGGGCAGTGTGAGCACAAAGGGATTTGCAAATTGCAAATTAAACCGAGGTCTGACAGCAGAACTGTGATTGTTCCCCGTGTATGAAAAAAATGAAGGGCATGGAAAACAGCTGGAGAGCCTTTATTTGATTGGAAGCAGTGACAGTGTGTGAAAAAAAGAACCGTGTGCCTTGGAAATGGGTCAGCAACACCTTCTCAATCAAGTCCTTGACTTTGCCTCTGAGGCCTTTGCAATCAGTAGAAGAGCCAGCATAGGTACTCAGTCCCAAGGCACTCATTAAAAGCTGACGGGAATCCTTTGCCAGAATGGACAGGCGAGCAATAAACACCGAGGAACTTTTTCCACCTTCGATGAGGGGCTGCTTCAGAATTAGTATTACACATTTGCATGATAAGAAGGTGTAATGATGTAAGAGCTTTTAAATATTTTAATGTTGCGACGGATATAAGGCTCATTGTTTTACTATTAAACAGGACATTGCTGTTGGCTTTCTCTGTGCACTGGTTCCCCAATGGCTTGCAAAATCAGATAAGAGGATTAATATCATCATGTTGTTTATTAATGCAGCCCATTTTTAATGTGTGATTATTTCCTCTGCTGATCGCAGTCAGATTTGTGCTTTATTGTTAAATTATTCTGGACTAGTATGCCAGATGAAACTACAAGCACGGTAATAAACATACTGTCAAAATAACATCAAATTTAAATAGAAATATGCATTAATATTAGAGTTGACGGGAAAAAAGTAAAAGAAAGTATTAAAAAGGTGTAAATGTGCAATTTCAGAGTTTCATCAACTCATGTTGAGGAAGTGATGGCGCCTACATTTCGCAGGTAAGCTCAGGCAAGTTCCAATTTTGCTCTCAAAGCGAGTGTCAGCTTTGAGGCAGGCAGATGAATGTGGTGCCTGTAGCGTTTAGATGATTTCTGGAGAGTAACATCGACGCCTCAGGACTCGGGATGAACATCACAATGTCAAAGCGTGTTGTCATGCGCCATTTACTGTCTGAAAATTTTGCATTTTGGTCAATGCGGTGCTTGTAAAGACCCACATGCCAGATGCGGCTGACATTAACACACAGTTGTATTGACAGCAGGAATGTTCATTGGATATCTGCATTTGCAAATACAGTACACACATGTTCATCCTTAAAACAGGCAGGTGGAGGATTAGGGGAGGTGGGCAACATGCGACACGGCGCAATCACCGGCCAAAGACAAAGATGAACAAGAAAGGCATCTTTACACCAAGAGGACATGTACTGTTTTAAAAATATAAACATTCAGTTTCAGAATCAAGCTTTAGTCTCTTTCACCATTTAAAAAGATTCTACATTTCAAGTCAGGAAGGTTTGTTTTCAGTTGGGCATGTTATATAGTGCATTGTACGAGTGTGTGTGTGTGTGGGGGGGTGGGGGGTTACCTATCTATCTATATATCTATATATATCTATATATATAGATATATAGATATATAGAGAGAGAGAGAGAGAGAGAGAGAGAGAGAGAGAGAGAGAGAGAGAGATGGTTTCCTTTTCTGTTGTCATCAAAAACAAAGTGTATCATTGCCAATCGTTCAATGCAAAGCACTTCACACAGCCAACGGTGGCACATTATGAGGTTGTTTTTTTTTCTCTGTTTATTTCTTTTATAGTATTTACACAGACTGCAGTAAAAAAAAAAAAAATCTTCTCAGCCAGGCCCTGATAATA